TACGTGTGGAGGGAGTTTCTGAGCGTCGCATGAAACGATCAACGAGCAAAACAGGTCAACCATAGGTTTATTTTTCAATTTCCTTTTTGAAAGAATAGAAAGACAGTACAAACAGGGAACACGTACGTAGCATCAGACCCGAATGAAAGCTGGGCAAAGCCCACATGCGAGTAACCGTAGATGCCCGAAGGTAGGAAATCAGACTTTCCCGTTGTGTGCGACTCGGCATTTGCGAATTTCAGTGTATATCTTGACAACATAAACCACACTGCAGACAGTCAAGAATGTGAAGCCTATGAATTCGGCAATGTCGAGGAACATGGAACTCGTATCAGGGGTATCAGGATGAGGTGCTGTAATGTTGGCGCCGAGAGCAGAAGATTCACTGGTATCCGTCGCAGTTGAGCCATTTACCGGAGAGTCTGCACCAATAGCGCCATGCAGATATTTTTCTTGAAGGGCATTCACCCAAAGAGCGGCCGGGCATGTCAGGAAAGATATGATTGCCCTGGTGAGTGCATATATTTTCAAATTCATTACATGCTGCAGTGTGCCATTGCTACTCACCATATCATCCATGTGATAGGGAGATACAAAACGGTCGCCGGGGTCCAAGATGACCGCGTTTGTACATTTTTCACGTCCGGGTGGCTCTGTTTGAGTTATGTTAGCAAAAAAAAAGGGCAAAGGTATAGCATCATGAGAGCGACATACAAGAAACCAACGGAGGAAATTGTCTCCATGATCCCGGGTGTATAGGATGAGGAGTATTGTGTAGATAAACCCAAAGAAAGCAAATATTATGCCCAGTATTACAAAGTCCCGAGGAATGCGACTGTCCGAGATACTGGAAACAGCAAGCATTGCCAGGGCAAAACTGTCCAGCCAATTAGTGACTGTGTTGAGTTAATGCGGGATGGATACGTTACCCAACCAAAACCCCATTGACAGAGATCACCCACGTCTGCAAGTCATTTAGCCGGGTCTCTAACCGCTTCCGCGTCCAAGCGACTCGAGTGTCGAGAAAAGGAGGAGCGGTTATAAACCGATGTGCGGATTGCAAAAAATTCCAGATACTCCAGACCGATTGTTGTGTATCTAAGGCTGGATTTGAAGCTGTATCTGAACCTGTTTCCGCGAGGATGTCTGGAGATAACAGGGAGTGTGGCAACGGGGAATCATGGAATTCCGCCAAAGCTTGCTTCAGCTCAGCAATCTGCCCAATGTTCAAGCCAAGATCCTTCAGAGTGATGTCCCCGACATTGGAAAGTGCTTCCACCGTCTTGAATCCTTCCTCGACCAGGAGTGATGAAATGACAGCATCCAGTTCATACTGTTCACAAAATGTTTTGACATCCGTGCGAACACGTCTGCGGGAGGACCCTAGGTGCCATATCGGCCCTTCGCCGACCCCACCGTTCTGTTGCCTGTATTCTCCTGGACCACCGATGCCACTTTGGATTAAACCGGAGTGGTCAATTGAGTTGCAGTAACACTACTCACCAGGGAAAATGTCTCCTACCCTGATCCCCTCGCCAGTCCCACCAGATCCCCCTGTTCCTCCTAGAGAAATAGAAAATGATTTAGCCGAGTGTTGTGTTGAAAAGCTTGTACAAGTACCGTGTATGAGTGATATCACCTGGCCAGCTTCTAACGGTCTTCCGCCTCTCTTCACCCCTCCCCCATCCTCCCATAGACCACCGTGAATATTAACAGATTTACTAAAGGCATCAGGTCTAAAAAGATCGGAATCCTTGATGCTGTCAGGTGCTGTCTTGGACTCGGTATCTGTGCTCATGGCGAGAGGATGAAGGATGGCGTCCTCACTCCACAGATGCTTATAACTTGTTGGAATTACGAGATACATGTGCGTGCACTGCCCCATGTGGCGCACTTTGTTGCCAGGTCTTCGCCGCGTTCATTTCTACTGTCTGTGTCTGTTCCTGTACATGATGGATTAAATTTGTACCTTAATTACTGTTGAGTAGTACTTACAGCCTGTAGCTAGCGAAGAATACCCTGCGCGTTTGCAGCGGGTTCACTGCTAATATTGGATTGCTCCATTGATTCCAACACCACTGTCTTCGAAAGTGTCATTCAGAAGTAGCTTCGCGGACTTAAGGGTGGGCTTGGCGAAGGCCCAAATCGCCTGCAACTTGGGTAGATCCGTCGGCAGAAAAATGATGTTGTAATGGGGGTCCGCCACACAGTGTCCTCTGGATTGAGCCTAGCGATAGAACGAGGATTGGTGCGGACACTTGGGATACTTTTGATGTCAAAGGGTGGTGCCAACGCCCACGCACGGACCATCGAAGTAAATCGGATCTTCTGAGTACATCGCCGATATGAACGGTTGCCCCGCTGGCGTGTGTTCGATTCCAACTGGTGACATTTCTTTTTGATTAATAGAGAACATGCGGTGGAGCCACCTGGCGCCACCCAGTGGCTCATCAGGCATGCGGTACCGGGTGGCTACGTCATTCGGTGGCAGTTCAGGTGGCTACTTCTTATGGCGTGAATAACTATCCACTCACATACTACTTGCTCTACCTATGCAGAAAGTCCATTCTTGAGTCCCACCTTGACTTTACTGCCTTTCTATAAGAATCACTTATGAATTGGGAAAAATTTATCAATGATATGACCTGTATTAGTTGTTTTCAGCACTTGTGTCTATACAAGTACATACCAGCATATGCATAGTGCTTATGGAAGGTCGACAATGAGTTCTCCCCATGCAACTTGAATAGCCACCAACTGATGTAGCCACCCGGTACCGCATGCCTGATGAGCCACTGGGTGGCGCCAGGTGGCTCCACCGCATGTTCTCTAATTTCCACTTCGCCGCAACTCTCTTGGGGCGTTTTGTAATGGTGAAAAATACTAAACTAGGGTGGTGCCTCTTCCTGCTGCTTCGGATTCTTATTTCTAGCATCTCCGAGATCCCCGAGAATGTTCCCACAGTCCCGTTCGTGCTGCATGAAAAATAAATCATTCCGTCATTTGGCCGTAAATGGCCTCAAATTGCCGAGGGTTTTGCCAGCCTGCATGCTCAGTTTAATTGGTCTGTAACCAATTTTGCCATCAACCTGGGAATGGCGGAGTTGCTGGTGAAACTTGGAGTTTCAATCAGGCAGGTCCTCGGATTCGAACCATCATCTTCCGTGTCAGATAAGCGACTAGGGACGGCAATTGGTCGGCGTGAGTTGCCGTGCTCAACGAAGACTTGAGAGGTTGTTGAAAGGCTAAGATAGGCCGGCATCTTAGCTCCGAGTCGTCTCAGGCTGTTCTAACTTCTGTGCAATACGGCGTCAGACACTTACCGAGGATGCCAATCCAACGGCTCCAAGACAAGGCAAGCGTCGGTATAAGTTGGAGGGAGAATAGGATCATCACTGCAGGAGAATGTGGATGTGGTGGGTATAAGCTTTAACTTCAGAACGATGGGCCGACGGCTAGGTCTAGACCTGGTGCGATGCGTCGCTTCGACAGCAGCTCACGGTTTTACCTGTTTGAGTAATGGTACTCTCACAACAAGTAGGCTACATGTCAGCGACGTTGAGATGAGGTGGGACGTACGTGTGAACCTGGGACACATGCTGAGAAAGGAAACACATTGTGAAAGGGAAAGACTTTACCTGTGGAATTGTTTTCAAAGAGAAATAAATGGAGTCTGCAAAAGTAGCAAGGGCGCCCCGTTGATAACATGTAGATGTGTGCACGTACCAGTACTATATTAGAGTGGTCCTCCGCCCGCACGCTTGTCGTTGCGCCATTATGCGAGGGGGGAGGGATAATGAAGATAAAGCTTGCGATGAGCCGCACGAGGAACGCAAACAAAAGGCGATGCTTACAATGCGCACGATGCCCGCCAGGAAAAAGGAACCACCGGTATCGCGGTGAGACGTTATGTAAATGGCGCGAAGAAAGGACGAACAATATTGGAGAATACTCTGCGTCGCGTCCAGGGAATGAATGCCGCGAGCTACGCGCGCTGTAAGTCGCGAAAGAGAGGTATTGGAGAGATATTCGACTGGTCAGCGTTGTGCATTCGTTCGTACGCGTCGCGTCAGCAGAAATAGGTGGATGTGGAAAATAACGCACCGCGAGTGGACCACAGAGGGCTCCAAGAGAAACGACTACGTGGCTGCGATGAGGCAGGGGAAGATGGGAGATGCAGGAGAGGCGGGGCGACGGGAGATGGCGGTGGTCAAGAGGCGTTTCAAACTCCGACCGAGATTCTCGCGCCTATGACAAGCCTATGACGGCATTTGTGATACTCCGAGTCGCCGCTGTCCACCAAGTCCAATCGCGCTCGGCTGTGTCTCGCAATTGAGAATCGAAATGGGCACGAAACTGAAGCTAATTCGATGGTTTCTGTATTTCACATCTGGCCACGACAGATCTGAACAGATGGACCAGATTCGGCCAGATTCAAGCATAAGTCCGTGCCCAGACGGGGTTGTCAAGAAGAAGACGGAGATTCGACTCCTCACGGCGACATGAGCCGGGCTTTTGAAATCTTTTCATTTATTTCATTGTTTTTCTGGTGAGTGGTCTGACTCTAGATGACTATAAAACCCCCGGAAGAATCCGTGATATCGGTTCGAGAACGATTCAACAAATCTTCTCCCAGGATCGGTTTTATATCACAGCACTACTAGTTCAAATATGCATTTGAGGATATAGTATTAAAGCTGTCGTTGACCACAGTGGTCGTCTTCTCAGCATAATTTGTTGACCCACAGTCCATGAGAAAGACGGAGGTTCGATTCCTCCCGGCGACATGAGCGGGTTTGATCTTTTTATTTGCTTACAGAAATTATCTACCGGTGAGTCGGAGTCGTCCCACTTGAGATGATTATACTGTAAAACATATCGGAGAATACCCTCGGAATCCGTCAAATTTGAACAGCTAAAAGAATCTTCTCCTCTGAGATTCGGTTTTACATCACTGCAAGCACTAGTTGAACCATGCACTTGAGCATATTAATATCCAAGCCGCCATTGACCAGAGTGGTCGTCCTCTCAGCATAAGGTAGTGATTTTGGACCCATCCTTTCAAGAGGAAGACGGAGGTTCGACTCCTCCTGGCGGCATGGATCAGTGCTGATATGTCTTTGTTTTTTTTTGCCTCCGCCTCGTTTCAATTCGGATCTAGTAATTAGTGAGAGTCCCTTCCATCGGTCTGGTTTGAGTGAGAGGTTCCCATTCGGTTTGATTTGATATTATACTGACGAAAGCAGTCCAAATGTTCGGTTGAACCAAAGTCCAGAGCTCCCGTAGACGAGCTTGGGTGCTGTAAATCCGGAATGGCCATGTATCCTGATGATGCATACACCTCCGATCACCTTCGCCCCCTCAACTCAAACAGTTATTTAAAAAAAAGAAAGATCCTCTCAGATTCGGTGCTATATCACCACCGCAAGTACTTCCCAGCTAAACCATGCACTCGACGTATATTCAAGCCGTCATTGACCACAGTGTTCCTCCTCTCAGCATAAACAACCCTTCATGTTTCAAGAGGAATACGGAGGTTCGACTCCTCCCGGCGGCATGAATTGTGCCGAAACTCTTTTTATTTATTTTTCGGTGACTCGGAGTCGTCTGATTTGAGATAAGACACCTCGAAGAGCGTCCAATAAAGCTTTAAGAATAAATAAACTTGGAGTCCATGATATCGGTTCAAAAACGATTCCACAAATCTTATCATGCATTCGGTCTTATATCACTCCAAATACTACTGGAACCATACCATACACTTGAGCGTGTTAATATTCATACCGTCGTTGACCATGGTGGTCGTCCTCTCAGCACGGTTCTGTTCACTCCCGATTCAAGAGGAAGACGGAGGTTCGACTCCTCCCGGCGACATCAACCGGCATCAGCCTTTTATTTATTTTTCGGCGGGTCGTCCGACTTGAGAGAATTATGAAACACCTTGAAGAATGCCAGTCCGTGATATCGGCTCGAACTCGAGAACAATTCGACAAATGATTGGGTGCAGAATCTTCGTTTTATTATATCACTGCAAGCACTACTGGAACCATACACTTGAGAGTATTAATATTCAAGCTGTCGTTGACCATGGTAGTCGTCCTGATTTTGTTTACCTCCGGTTCAAGACTCAAACACCAATTCTATGAACTTTCCGATGACACGGACTGTCGTCGTCTATTCGCTCCACGAGGGATGGCGCTCTGTGTCTCAGCGATGGCAGACGCTGTGGCGGAGGCGGGATTCGGCCCGGTGCCATCGAAGATAGCGACGGTCTCCTCCAGGATGAGGCTCTTGGTCTGGGGCATGAGGGAAAAGCGTACCAAGAGCGATGGGGTTGATATATTGATTAAAGACGATGGCGAGCGAGATTGTCAAGTTGGAGATGCTGGCCCTTCGCACGAATATCATAAGGCAGAATTTCAAGACTGTACGTGACTGAGCCAGTAAGGTTAGATAGAGCATGCGGAGAGCAGAAAAAGAAACGCACCAATGAGAGGCGTGAAAGCAAGACTGGGGACCATTAACATCGCAACCAGCACAAAAAAAGAAACGCCTCACGCACAAGCGGCAGAGTACAGGAAGATGAAGGCGATGACGGTGGGTCAAGGAATGCAGCCCATTCATAATACTTCCACCGACGAGGTGATAAGCCTTTGAGGGACGAAATAACGGCGGTGATTTGCGGCATGTCTACTCACAGCAAGACGATCCAGGCAGTGAGAGCAATGAGTCTGAAGAATGTGTCGATATAGGATACGAGACGAGGATGCGGAGGAGACCAAGGACGTCGGTCTGTTGTTATACCACTTCCGGCTGGGGTCCATAAGGCGCGTATAGGCATTCGTGCCACTTGCAATCGCGACAGGTTCTCCGGCCATTGTGGATAGGAAAGACAGCTCGAGTAACTACTAAGCGGGGGCTGAAAGGACGCCCGGAGATTTCGAGGCGCGAGGATTTATGTAGAGCGGTTCAGGTGACAGAGACTCTCATAAAATCCACGTTCCGAGTCCTGAGTTAGGCGGAGGGTTCGAGCGGTTATTGCGGGAATCAATGATGGAGAGTAGGTATTTGGGAGCTCGGCCCCTATCCAGAGTTTGAGGTCATTTGAATACTTCCATTTCATCACAAGATGTCGGCAATGGAGGCATCTCAGAATATGGTTCAATGCGGCCAGGCGGGGCCTTCAGCAGGAGTATATAAAGTGCAAGTAAACCAACTTCAAGAATGTTGTGAGAGATAAATAAACAAAAAGTAAATAAAATTTGAACCCGTTGAACGTTGTTGGGACCTGGGAGCGGGGACGTGGAAGTTATGGTTTAGATGGGGAGAATGGGTCAAGAATTACACATTGAGTTGGTAGGGCTGCGCGAGTGCGTGTTGAAACCCTTGAAAGTAAGACGGCAAATCCACATTTCTGAGTAGATACCGTAAATGCGGACACTGCTAGCCGCCAAAATATCACTTTCTACTGTACTGTGGGAAATTTCATCACAATGGCTGATAAGACTCGCCTTCAACCCTGACCATATCTGACCAGGCCTGATCGGACCGTCAGGCGCGGTCAGCTCCTGATCAGACAAATCTTGTTTTTCCAACATACCCACGAAATAGTCTAGCCATCAAGTAAGTTCAGATCTGAACTTACTTGATGGCTTGATACTGGCCCCTAGCACAAACAAGGATTCCGAATCTAAGTCAAGCAGCAGTTAAGATTCTGTGCAATACGGCGTCAAACACTTGGGAATGCAAGCATCTGCGGTGCGTGCATTGCTAACATCACGAAGAAGAAGTGCTATTGAAAGTAGGCAACTAGGAACGGCAAGTGAGTTGCCGTATTCTACAGTGGCCTAGATATAGAGGTACGTTAGACGATGAGTTGAACAGACTTTTTTACAGTATAATAAAATAAAAATGAGAGATTGAATTCGGGAGGATTCGGTGTATTGGGAAAAAGCATTACAGTCAAGGGCATTGAAAAGTAAAGAATTTCAAGGTACGTTTGCGTAGCGCAAGAAAAAGACTTTGAAACCCGCGAACACGACGAAATTGCAAATGCCGCGGGATCCGGACTCATTGGTTGAATTTCGACCGACGACATTGCGGACGTCGCGTTCAAAGCCCTCACTGATCCAGTCACTGAGCACACAAATCTAATTATGGTCGGTCCAGAACTGTCATCCTACGCGCAGGTGCGAAGGCTTGTTTCCACGCTCCTCTTCTTCGGCGGAATGACTGAACCTCGCCGATTCCGCGGTGCATGGGAACCCTTCAGAATAGGTTGGTCTTCAATGGCGCCTTGGCAAAGAAAGAAGTCGACGGCACCGGCGATTTTGGGGGATTCGTTTGATAACGACGATTTTGGAGAAGAGCGGTCAAATCGTGGGGGCGAGAGAAACAGGGAATCCTGAGTATGACGTTGTGTAGGTACAACGGAGAGGCCGAGGCAAAGACTGTACACATCGGCTCTCGGTGGATAAAACAACCTCGACTGAGAATACAAGTCAGATATCCATAAATATTCCCTGAGTATAAGGTGTCAATTGAGCGAAACGGTTATGTGTGCTCCCGCCCGCGATAGTTTTGAGGATCAACATACCTATCCTCTTTTCGATGCTTGAGGCTTGAAGCTTGGAGATCGAAAGTCGGAAATACCCGAAAATTCTGCGAGCAGAAAGACGGCTTGAGCTGCTCTGAGATGCCATGGACATTGGCGTGTGATGTACCGCCATTTAGTAGTGATGGTGCCATTGCGATTTTGAGCCCCTAATAGGCCAGGAATTTTCCCATGATTGCCGAGAAATAAACACTTGGAAAGGCGAACACCCATGGTGATGCGTGGACATAGGCCGAACACTTGGTCGAATCAGTACAGTAGGCAAAAATGCGCTAAGAATCCCACAGCGCAAGTTGGTCGACTCATCTCGATTCCTGATTTCGAGTCTGAACCTCTGTCACACGAGCCGTAGACTACTACCCCAACCGATGTTACGATTGACCCCGTTGGCAGTGTGGAATCAGGGTTCTAGTCTCTTTTGGGGCTTCCTTACTGTGTGCATTTACTAACATCGCAAATGAACACAAAACAATGAAGTAATCTCAGGTCTATACCGTGTTCATCGGTGCTACCGTGCCAGAGTTCGGCGTCCTGGTACGTGGTCAGTCACGGTTACCCGCGATGCCCAGACGTCGGCGATTGGACTATTCCGTGGATTCTGATTCGGGCGTTTTCCTTGGTAAGACTTCCGTTCTTCTTGGTTAGATATTACTGATCACTGACACAATTGGTATACACCGACTCAACCGGCATATCCTGGGGATTAAATGAGCCTATATCAGGGTTCGTTCCACACATCTCTTCGCATCAATGACCATCCTTCTCACTGGCGGCACCGGAAAATCGGCCAGGCCATTGGCAACACTTCTCCTCAAAGCAAAAATCCCCGTACTCTTGGCCAATCGGAGCGGGAAGGTTCCTGCGCCCTTCCAAGGCGTGCGCTTTGACTGGTTCGATGCGTCGACATATCAGCTTCCGTTCGAGGTCGACAATAACATCGACCGGATCTACCTCATAACACCGCTGGTCGCAGACCCGTTCCCGCCCATGAAGGCGTTCATCGACTTGGCAATCCAGAAAGGCGTGAAACGTTTTGTTCTGATGAGCGCTGCCGTGATGGAAGTAGGCGGACCATTGATGGGGAAGGTGCACGAATATCTCAGTACCCTAAACGTGGAATATTGCGCACTTCGTCCCTCCTGGTTCTTCGGTCGGTCTTGTTATATTTTCCTTTCAAAAATCAAAGGCAAACTCGTTTTGGTCCTGCAGATAACTTACTGTTGTATTACGGGGACCACATCCGAGAACACAACGAAATTGCAAACGGCGCGGGATCTGGGCTCATTGGTTGGATTTCGATCGACGACATTGCGGACGTCGCGTTCAAAGCCCTCACTGATCCAGTCATTGAACACACAAATCCGGTTATGGTCGGTCCAGAACTGTTCTCCTACGCACAGGTGCGCATTGTTTTCCTCCTTGCGTTTTCCGGCTAATGGATTGAATCAGATCACGCAAATGCTCACTGAGGTGCTGGGCCGCAAA